TCGTCGTCGTCGTCGTCTCTGGGACCATACCATCTGGGGGGGGGGCCCGAGGAATCCTGGGACCATACCATCTGGGGGGGGGGGCCCGTGGGCCCGGAGGCCCTGGACCATATATATATATATATATATATATACATTTATATATATATATATATATATATATATAGATGTACTAGAACCATCGCGCGCGTTTCGCGCGCGCGCTCAAGTTCTAGCTAGGATTGATCGGCTAACTCATGCAATCTAATTTTGGTCTTCTTGCGTGCAGGGACTCCCTTGGAGGCCCTGCTCGCAAGAGCATGGGCCTCCAAGGGAGTCCCTGCACAGACGACGACGTACTTCCGCAGCCATTTTGGTTCAAGCCATTTTGACCTAAGCCGCGGTCTCTCGAGCGATTCTTCTGTGCACCGCTCTCCGTCCACATGACCCCGATGCTGTGCCATTTCATATGCTTTCTTATTTCCATACGTGCCCAAGGTCTGAATCTGTTTGACGACCCGCCTGCACAGGACGATGCCACTTGGCGCGAAACGACCGCCACGAGCACGACGGGCAAGGACGGGAAGCGCGTGGCCATAGTTGTTGCAGGGTCTTTCATTCGGTACAGCTTGAGTTCAACGCTGCACCATCTCATTCGGCCGCTCGTGGCCGAAGGACACCGAGCGGACTACTACGTCTCACTGACTTACCAGAGCAGTCCAGCATACCATCAGAAAGATTGGTACATGCAGCACTTGGCACTGGACCCTGGTCTTGATGGCGCTTGTGGTGGCAAGACATTGGAGTCCGACATCAGCATTTTCCTTAATAACGTGACCGATGATTGCACCAGGAAGCATGCGATCTACATTAAAAATGCCATACAGAAACATGGAGGGCGTGCGCGCAAGGTCGTCTTGAGGCAAAGGCTAAGCATTGATGATAATGAACTGGTGGCTGCAAAGCGTTCAGCTGCCGTATCTATGAATCCCGGCGAAGACCCCGATTTCAGGTTCCCCACTCTGGATCTCCACACCGATCGCACGCAAGTTGCTTCTGCCAATCGCAACATGCTCACGCTCTTTTTGAACTACCAGCAGTTGTGGGACGACGTTGTAAAGAGTGAAGATGCAACGCAGCCGTACGACTACGTGATGTTCCTCAGGGACGATACTTTGTGGCTGAAAGATTTCAGCCTGAATCGTCTCGTCGATCACGGCCCTGCTGATCTTTATGTTTTGTCTTGCGATGCCCGTTGGCCGCGTATGTGGCGAGAAGAAATGAATGATCATGGAAGTGTGGTGTCTAGAAGAAAGGCTGAGCTGTTTGGTAAATATTTCACCCACTTGTTTCATGCGAATATCACGGAATGTAACAAGAAGATCGTTTCGATGTCAGGCGGAACGTTTGGTTGCAACAGCGAAATGATTCTGAAAATGGTTGTGACGCAGGATGGCGTGTCGACCAAATTGGTGGGGCAGGGGCTGATACCTTTCCAGCGATCGGTGCATGTGCAGATGCCAGGAGGGGGCGTTGTCCCTTGTTTCCACAAGTACTGCAAGAGCCATTCAGATGGCCTGGAGTCTTTCGGAATTGAGCGATGCAAGCATATGAGAGCGTAGCATCGGAGACGTGCGGTTCAGTGTGTAGGTGTTCGCATACGCAGCGCCCTGTGAGCCACTTTCGTTGGAATGCGTGTCTCCATCGGTGCCTCGCACGCTTGGTGCGGGGACCCCTAGTGCGACATAGTAGAAGACGACATATGATACCATGACATAGCCGCGCATAGCATAACATAGCTAGGCATACCATGGCATCTCATGACGCAGCATCCCATACCATATCGTAACACGACAGCTGAGCATAACGACGCATATTAGTAGAGCGCATCACAATACTACAGACCATGCCAGAACAGACGACGACATAACACAACATATCAGAGCATAGCCAATCATACCATAACACGCCATGTCAAAACATTCCATACCATAGCTCGACATCATCACATAACATTTCATACCACGACAGCAAAGCACAGCGAAACGCACTAGCAGAGCATATCATGTTACATTACACTGGGCCGACCTGCCAATACCATCACGGAACAAGTCACACTATAACAACATTTGACGTCACAGACCATGCCATGATATAGTGTCGCAGAGCAGATCATACCATAACGTCTCCAATTATATGGTGACAGAGATGAGCATACCATAACACATTCACGCATATGAGCAACATACGAGAAGAGGAACATGATACCAGACGACGCATCTAACATCACAGGTATCACGACGTCACGCTTGCCCAGCGAGAGCAAAACATAACATAATCGAGCACAACATGAAAGAACGTGGCTACATGGAACACGGTTGAAGCGTTGTTGAATACAGAAGGGGCAGTTGTCGACCACCTAGGCGACCGCGCGCCGTCGGGAACAACCGCCTCAGGTTTCGGTGGGGCGGAGGGGGATGTTATGAGGATGAAACACGTCTCCACACATGCATATAGTTAGGTATGCGCAGGATTCCATGCCAGAAACTGTTGATTGGTCAGTTTAAATAGCTGCCGATTCCCATTTTGCCGATTTTCATTTTGACCAGACATCGCTGAACAATGGTCGGCTGATGCCCATTGCCGATCCTCGGTGGCGGGGCGAGAAGTAGAACATGTTCCGCCGAAGGACCTGCATCGGGTCATTTGACCGAACCTCTCCGCGGTATCCTCTCACACCTTGGCTAGTGTAGGAAGTTATGTTGTAGTTGCGATCTTGCGCGGCAGTGCCCGTTCCGAATTCTGGTGCCATTCAACTATGCCTGGTCTGGCATGTTGAGGTCATGCATGAGAAGTCTTTGAATTAGATATGATCAGACGTACTGGCAGTCTTGCGTTTGGCGACGTGCCTTTTGTTCTGACGGCTCGCGCGGTAAAATAAAACAAGGTTTCGGTGGGGATCGCTGGAAACAAAATAACAGAGGGCTTTTTTGTGTGTCTGTGTGTATGTTGTTTTCGGGGGAGGTTCAAACGATTTCGTCGGAAGGCCGGGGGGCTTGCGAGCCTTGTGCGTTTACCAAACAGCCTTGCCCTGTTCGATTACTTTCTTTGGGTGCGTTTACTAGGCGACCTCGCTAGTGGGGTGGTTAATATGGGGGTGGATTTTTTGCCCTCCATTCTCACCCCCCCTCTCCACCCCCTCCGCCTCCTCCTCCTCCTCCTCCACCTCCTCCTCCTCCTCCTCCGTTTCCTCCTCATCCGTTTCCTCCTCCTCCGTTCCCTCCTCCTCCGTTCCCTCCTCTTCCTCCTCCTCCTCCTCCTCCTGCTCCTCCTTCTCCCTCTCCTCCCCCCTCCTGCCCCTCCTCCCCTGCCTTCCCTCCCTCCCTCCCTCCTCCCTCCTCCCTCCTCCCTCCTCCCTCCTCCCCCTCCCCCTGGCTCGCCGCCGAGAGCTCTCCTTCAGCGCGCTGGATCCCCAGAGCTCTCGGCCCCACCCCGCAGGACGGCCCCGTCGCCGCGGGGTGCTCCCGCGATACCCCCCAGCCCGGTGCCCACGGGCGGGCCTCCAGGGCCGCCTCGGCGCCCGAGAGGGCTGACCGCCGCGGTCATGTCTCCACAGCTCGAGTTCGGTCGGGCCAAGGTGTGTGTATATATATGTATATATTTATAGTTATATTTAGATGTATTTGGTATGTATACATAGAGTATGTCTGTCTGTCTGTTTGTCTGTCTGTCTGTCTGTCTGTCTGTCTGTCTGTATGTATGTATGTATGTATGTATGTATGTATGTCCTAGGCCACCAAGAGGCTCCCCAGACAACCCAACTGTGCCCCAAGAGCTCCCCAAGAGGGCCCAGAGGGGGACCGCCAACCGATATTTCGAAGTCTCTGGCCCTAGGAAGCCTGTAGGCCCCCGGAGGCCACCAAGAGGCTCCCACGAAGCCCCGTGAGGCGCCCAAGAGGCCCCCCTAACACACTCCAAGAAATCATGTCCCCAGAAAACCTTCCGGGGACATGGTTCATCATGGGCCCGAGAGTTCCCGGAGGCCCCCAAGGGGCCCCCAGGGAACGCCCAAGAGACCCCAACACACCCCAACAAACCATGTCCCCAGAAGGCCTTCCGGGGACATGGTTCATCATGGGCCCGCGAGTCTCCGGAGGCTTCGAAGTACCATCATGCTACAGGAGAGCTGTCTGGGAAGTTGATTGGGAACATGACTGATCGCCTTCTCGCGGCCCTCCGCGGATCGTTTCGCACAAAGTTGCCCCAAGTGCCCTCTTGAATCGACGACGACGACGACGAAACGACGAAGACGGCGACGACGACATTACGACGACGACGACGACGACGACGACGACGACGACGACGACGACGACGACGGCACGCACCAACAGGCTGCCCAAGATGCCCCCAAAACCATGCTCCCAGGAGGCCTTCTGGGAACTTGATTCATACGGCCTCCGCCCCTCTACACAACCATCTTCCTCGAAGGCCTTTTCGGAATGCAGATTGGAATGCGTGTACTGTGGTCCACTACTTCAGTGGAGCAGTGAGTTCGTCAAGGCCTGGGGCCTGCTAGAACCTGAGCGCGCGCGAAGCGCACGCGATGGTTCTATGTATATGCGTACATATATATAAACGAACACAGCATGACACAATTTTACATCACATATCAAATAATTGCACTGACTCACAGTACATATCATAATACGGCAGCAGAGCATAGCAACGATGAGCATGCCATAACACAACACGACACAACATAACATGCCAGAGCCGAACATCCATGACATAACATGACAGAACATAACACAGCAATGCCATGACAACATGCAGCACAACAGAGCACCATGGAGCATCCCGGAGCAGAGCATGCCAGAGCAGAGGACGACATATCACAACATAGCATACCATGGCCGAGCAGATCATAGCACAATTTGACATAACATATCATATCATGACACAACATCACATGACATGATTATCAGAACACGACAGCAGGGCAGAGCGAGCCGAGCTGTCAGCAAACATAACATCCAGAGCAGAGCATGACAACAGAAGACGACGTACTTCCGCAGCCATTTTGGTTCAAGCCATTTTGACCTAAGCCGCGGTCTCTCGAGCGATTCTTCTGTGCACCGCTCTCCGTCCACATGACCCCGATGCTGTGCCATTTCATAGGCTTTCTTATTTCCATACGTGCCCAAGGTCTGAATCTGTTTGACGACCCGCCTGCACAGGACGATGCCACTTGGCGCGAAACGACCGCCACGAGCACGACGGGCAAGGACGGGAAGCGCGTGGCCATAGTTGTTGCAGGGTCTTTCATTCGGTACAGCTTGAGTTCAACGTTGCACCATCTCATTCGGCCGCTCGTGGCCGAAGGACACCGAGCGGACTACTACGTCTCACTGACTTACCAGAGCAGTCCAGCATACCATCAGAAAGATTGGTACATGCAGCACTTGGCACTGGACCCTGGTCTTGATGGCGCTTGTGGTGGCAAGACATTGGAGTCCGACATCAGCATTTTCCTTAATAACGTGACCGATGATTGCACCAGGAAGCATGCGATCTACATTAAAAATGCCACACAGAAACATGGAGGGCGTGCGCGCAAGGTCGTCTTGAGGCAAAGGCTAAGCATTGATGATAATGAACTGGTGGCTGCAAAGCGTTCAGCTGCCGTATCTATGAATCCCGGCGAAGACCCCGATTTCAGGTTCCCCACTCTGGATCTCCACACCGATCGCACGCAAGTTGCTTCTGCCAATCGCAACATGCTCACGCTCTTTTTGAACTACCAGCAGTTGTGGGACGACGTTGTAAAGAGTGAAGATGCAACGCAGCCGTACGACTACGTGATGTTCCTCAGGGACGATACTTTGTGGCTGAAAGATTTCAGCCTGAATCGTCTCGTCGATCACGGCCCTGCTGATCTTTATGTTTTGTCTTGCGACGCCCGTTGGCCGCGTATGTGGCGAGAAGATATGAATGATCATGGAAGTGTGGTGTCTAGAAGAAAGGCTGAGCTGTTTGGTAAATATTTCACCCACTTGTTTCATGCGAATATCACAGAATGTAACAAGAAGATCGTTTCGATGTCCGGCGGAACGTTTGGTTGCAACAGCGAAATGATTCTGAAAATGGTTGTGACGCAGGATGGCGTGTCGACCAAATTGGTGGGGCAGGGGCTGATACCTTTCCAGCGATCGGTGCATGTGCAGATGCCAGGAGGGGGCGTTGTCCCTTGTTTCCACAAGTACTGCAAGAGCCATTCAGATGGCCTGGAATCTTTCGGAATTGAGCGATGCAAGCATATGAGAGCGTAGCATCGGAGACGTGCGGTTCAGTGTGTAGGTGTTCGCATACGCAGCGCCCTGTGAGCCACTTTCGTTGGAATGCGTGTCTCCATCGGTGCCTCGCACGCTTGGTGCGGGGACCCCTAGTGCGACATAGTAGAAGACGACATATGATACCATGACATAGCCGAGCATAACATAACATAGCTAGGCATACCATGGCATCTCATGACGCAGCATCCCATAACATATCGTAACACGACAGCTGAGCATAACGACACATATTAGTAGAGCACATCACAATACTACAGACCATGCCAGAACAGACGACGACACAACACAACATATCAGAGCATAGCCAATCATACCATAACACGCCATGTCAAAACATTCCATACCATAGCTCGACAGCATCACATAACATTTCATACCACGACAGCAAAGCACAGCGAAACGCACTAGCAGAGCATATCATGTTACATTACACTGGGCCGACCTGCCAATACCATCACGGAACAAGTCACACTATAACAACAGTTGACGTCACAGACCATGCCATGATATAGTGTCGCAGAGCAGATCATACCATAACGTCCCCAATTATATGGTGACAGAGAGAAGCATACCTAACACATTCACGCACATGAGAAACATACGAGAAGAGGAACATGATACCAGACGACGCATCTAACATCACAGGCATCACGACGTCACGCTTGCCCAGCGAGAGCAAAACGTAACATAATCGAGCACAACATGAAAGAACGTGGCTACATGGAACACGGTTGAAGCGTTGTTGAATACAGAAGGGGCAGTTGTCGACCACCTAGGCGACCGCGCGCCGTCGGGAACAACCGCCTCAGGTTTCGGTGGGGCGGAGGGGGATGTTATGAGGATGAAGCACGTCTCCACACATGCATATAGTTAGGTATGCGCAGGATTCCATGCCAGAAACTGTTGATTGGTCAGTTTAAATAGCTGCCGATTCCCATTTTGCCGATTTTCATTTTGACCAGACATCGCTGAACAATGGTCGGCTGATGCCCATTGCCGATCCTCGGTGGCGGGGCGAGAAGTAGAACATGTTCCGCCGAAGGACCTGCATCGGGTCATTTGACTGAACCTCTCCGCGGTATCCTCTCACACCTTGGCTAGTGTAGGAAGTTATGTTGTAGTTGCGATCTTGCGCGGCAGTACCCGTTCCGAATTCTGGTGCCATTCAACTATGCCTGGTCTGGCATGTTGAGGTCATGCATGAGAAGTCTTTGAATTAGATATGATCAGACGTACTGGCAGTCTTGCGTTTGGTGACGTGCCTTTTGTTCTGACGGCTCGCGCGGTAAAATAAAACAAGGTTTCGGTGGGGATCGCTGGAAACAAAATAACAGAGGGCTTTTTTGTGTGTCTGTGTGTATGTTGTTTTCGGGGGAGGTTCAAACGATTTCGTCGGAAGGCCGGGGGGCTTGCGAGCCTTGTGCGTTTACCAAACAGCCTTGCCCTGTTCGATTACTTTCTTTGGGTGCGTTTACTAGGCGACCTCGCTAGTGGGGGTGGTTAATATGGGGGTGGATTTTTTGCCCTCCATTCTCACCCCCCCTCTCCACCCCCTCCGCCTCCTCCTCCTCCTCCACCTCCTCCTCCTCCTCCTCCTCCGTTTCCTCCTCATCCGTTTCCTCCTCCTCCGTTCCCTCCTCCTCCGTTCCCTCCTCCTCCTCTTCCTCCTCCTCCTGCTCCTCCTTCTCCCCCTCCCCCCTCCTCCCCCTCCTCCCCGGCCTTCCCTCCCTCCCTCCCTCCCTCCTCCCTCCTCCCTCCTCCCTCCTACCCCTCCCCCCTGGCTCGCCGCCGACAGCTCTCCTGCAGCGCGCTGGATCCCCAGAGCTCTCGGCCCCACCCCGCAGGACGGGCCCCGTCGCCGCGGGGTGCTCCCGCGATACCCCCCAGCCCGGTGCCCACGGGCGGGCCTCCAGGGCCGCCTCGGCGCCCGAGAGGGCTGGCCGCCGCGGTCATGTCTCCACAGCTCGAGTTCGGTCGGGCCAAGCTGTGTGTGTGTGTGCGTGTATATATATATATATATATATATATGTGTATATATGTATATTTATATTTAGATGTATTTGGTAGGTATACATAGACTATGTCTGTCTGTCTGTCTGTCTGTCTGTCTGTCTGTCTGTCTGCCTGCCTGCCTGCCTGTCTGTCTGTCTGTCTGTCTGTCTGTCTGTCTGTATGTATGTATGTATGTATGTATGTATGTATGTATGTATGTACACACATATATATATATATATATATATATATATATATATATCCCCGTGTGCGAGGCCTGGGGGCCTGGGACCGCGACCTCGACGGCGCATGGGGGGACCGGGCGTCGTTTTCCTTGTGTTTTTTTCTGAGGTTTCGGCGACCCGCGGGGCCAACGGCGCCCCCAGAGGCTGCAGACGCCTTTCAAGACGATTCCCATGACGCCAGGAAGGCCCCGAAAGGCGCTGAAAACGCTCCAAGAGGCACCCCTAGAGAGGCCCAATAAGCAAAAATCGTTGATTCCCGATGGAAAAACTTATATTTTCGGCGTGTTTGTCTTTTGGGCGTCCACTGCGTCCAAGACGGTCCAAGAGGCACCCAAGCCGGTCGAGGATGCCTCCAAGAGGGCCCACGAGGTCCCCTGTCGCAACCCAATTTGCCCCCCCCTGGCTCCGGGAATCGCGTTGGGGTTTTTGGGTGATTCTTTCGGCCTGAAGAGGGTTCCGAACTGGTTCAGGAGGACGCCCGCTGGCCGCCAAGATGGTCCCTCAGTGGTTCAAGACGCTCCAAGATGGTTCAAGGCGGCCCCCAGGGGCCACAAGATGTCCCAGTGGAACTCCCAAGGCCCTCCCAAATGACCCCAGAGAGCCACAAACGCAAAAACTATTCAGGTTTCTCCATATTCAGAAAATCTCACGCTCGTCTCCTTCGGATGGCTTCGGGAGAGCTTCACATGGCGCCGAGGCTCGAGACGGCCCCGCAACTTCGAAGAAGAGCCCAAGAGAGGCCCAAGCGGGCCCCAAGGCCTTCAAGGTAATTAGCCCAAACAGGAATATCCTCAAGACACCTGTACATTTCAAGCCAACCCACTTCATATTGAATAACTTCCCACGCTGGCCCTGAACAGCTCGAAAGCTCCGCATAATCCCAAGCAAGAGGTGGCCGTCGATAAGAACGAGAAACAAAAATCGAGGACAACCGAGAGAGTCTGGAGGGTTAACGAGGAAGGACGTGTAAGGAATATTGGAGAACGAGGTAAGGCAAGGCATGGAATGAGCCTGTCCGAAAAGCACGCGCAGCTAACAACGCCATGGCATGCGCTAGAACCCAAGCGCGCGCGAAGCGCGCCCGCTGTTGTATATAAAATTCGTGAATGCCGCCCCCCGCCGGCCCCGGGTCCCACACCTACCCGCCTCATCTCGGGGACGCTCCCGGTACCGCTCCCCCGTCCTTTCCGGGGAGGTTCCACAGTGCCCCAGGAGGGCCCAAGACGCTTCCCAGGAGCCCCCAGAATTCGAAAGCAGAGGGTCCAAAACACTCCCAAGCAGCCCAAGTCAGCCTTCCGACGACTCTCGAGGCTCCCAGGTGGCCTCCAAGAGACCCCAAGAGAGGTCCGAGAGGCGTCCCGGGACGGCCCGAAGAGGCCGAAATCGTAGATGTTCATTGGTTTTGTTCCATGTTTTTGGCTTCTCGCGTTTCCGAGCTTCCAATGGTCCAACAGCGCCGAAGAGGCTCCCACGACCGCCCCAAGACCACCCAAGAGACCCTCAGGACGGCCCCAAGACGGGCCAAGAAGGCTTCAAGACTGCCGAAGAGGCGCCCAGGACAGCCCCAGACCACCCCAGAACATGCCCAAGATGGGCCCAAGAGCGGGAGCAGGAGGCTTCCAGAGACCTCCGAGAGGTCTTCGGGACCCCCCGGAGGCCCCTAACGCACCCCCGGCCCGATCCTTGAGAGGCCCCAAAAAGACCCCGACGAGGCTCCAAGAACAGCCCAAGAGAGCTGCGAGAGCCGTCCCGAGAGAGCCCAAAGAGGGTAAAATCGTTGATACCCGATGGCTTTTTCTGATGTTTTTCGCCTTCTCACGTTTTCCTGCTTCCAAACCTCAAAGATCGAAGTATTGTTTAAAAAATGGAATTTCCAGAATCCCCTTTTTTTCAAAATGGAGCTCCTACTCGGGGGTCCTACGCATCCCCGGACATCTGACCGGTACCGCGCCTCCCGGCTTACGGTTTCGCGGAGTTTCCGAAGGCCCCAAGGAATCCGTGAATTTTGGATTTGGGTTAGATGCTCATCCACTCAGGACTCAGGACAGAAATTCTCGGGCGAACCAAGCATGTCCATCTCTCGTTCAAGTGCCGTGTGGGATGAGTAATGCTGGGGTATTTAATTGCATGGCACTGCAGCCCAGGGTAGCAGCGCCTTTCACGCAGCAGTATCCAGCTAGCTGCAGCCCAAGGTAGCAGCTCATGTGCAGTGCTGGCCGCTGCATCCCAGGCACTATTTACTCAGAGCAAGCGAGAGAAGATGCCCGCGGCAGAGCTGTCATAGAGAACAACGTGGCGGGCGGACGGACGACGGACGTCGGACGACGGAAGAAGACGACGGGACCGCCCATGGGGGAGGGGACCTGGGGTGGCCCTGGGGTGGCCCATTTTTCCCAAATTCCCCCTGTCGCAACCCAATTTGCCCCCCCTCGGCTCCGGGATCCGCTTTGGGGTCTTTGGGTGATTCTTTCGGCCTGAAGAGGGTTCCGAGCTGGTTCAGGAGGACGCCCGCTGGCCGCCAAGATGGCCCCTTAATGGCCAAGACGCTCCAAGATGTTTCAAGGCGGCCCCCAGGGGCCACAAGATGTCCCAGTGGAACTCCCAAGGCCCTCCCAAATGACCCTAGAGAGACACAAACGCAAAAGCTACTCAGATTTCTCCATATTCAGAAAATCTCACGCTCGTCTCCTTCGGATGGCTTCGGGAGAGCTTCACATGGCGCCGAGGCTCGAGACGGCCCAACAACTTCGAAGAAGAGCCAAAGAGGGGCCCAAGCGGGCCCCAAGGCCTTCAAGGCAGCCCAAACAGGAAGATCCACAAGAGACCCGTACATTTCAAGCCAGCCCACTTCATATTGAATATCTTCCCACGCCGGCCCTGAACAGCTCGAAGCCACCGCATAGTCCCAAGCAAGAGGAGGCCGTCGATAAGAACGAGAAATGAAAATCGAGGACAACCGAGAGAGTCTGGAGGGTTAACGAGGAAGGACGTATAAGGAATCTTGGAGGACGAGGTAAGGCAAGGCATGGAATGAGCCTGTCCGAAAAGCACGAGCAGCTAACAACGCCATGGCATGCGCTAGAACCGAAGCGCGCGCGAAACGCGCGGGTGGTTCTATATAATCCCACCAGCCCTCTGGGCGCAGGCTTGCCGACAAGGCCAAAAGGCGCCCCTCGGTAAGCCCAGAGGCCCACCTCTTAGAGAGCCGAGCAAATCATGCTCCCGGAAAGCTTCCCGGGAACATGATTCTCTATCTCGGAGTAGGCCTGGGGGGGGCGGGCCGCTGCCTGTTCCCCCCATCGGTGCACACCAGGGGTTGCGGGGGGGGTCCAGAGCTCCCGAGGCGGCCCGAGCCCGCCCCGAAGCAGGCCACGACAGGCTAAGGGGGTCCCGAGACCACCCCAGACGGTCCCACGAGGCCCCGAAGACGCCCAAGATGCCCTCAAGACAGCCGACGAGGACTCCAACACGCTCCAGGACGGACTCAAGAGGCTCCCCAAGAGGGCCCTGGAAGGCAAGATTCACTCGTTTTCCGAGTTTTGGATTTTGGCGTTCTCGCTTTTCCCGCTTCCCAGCGCTCCCTCACGGCCTCGGAGGCCTTTCAGATCGCTCCAAGAAGGCCCACGAGGCCTCGACGAGGGCCCCAAGACGGCCCAGGATGCTCCCCAGACAACCCAAGTGTGCCCCAAGAGCGCGCCAAGAGAAGGCCTAGAGGGGTCCCGAGGCGGCCCGGGCCCGCCCCGAAGCAGGCCGCAACAGGCGAATGGAGGTCCCGAGAGGGCCCTAGACGGTCCCAAGAGGCCCCGAAGACGCCCAAGCTGCCCTCAAGACGGCCGACGAGGACTCGAACACGCTCCAGGACGGACTCAAGAGGCTCCCCAAGAGGGCCTTGGGAGGCAAGATTCACTAATTTTCCCATGGTTTTTGAAGGATTCTTGACGCTTCGCGTATCCCCACCGGCCCATCCAGAAACAACGTCCAGGCGAGTAGAGGTGATCATGGAAGCTGGGCAGCATACAGAGGAACAAGGGGCTGGGGAGGCCGTCGTACCCCAAGGGGGGGGGATGGAGGACGTCTCGGAGG